ATATAAATGAATTTTAATTCTCTATTTTACTTCTTATGTTAAGTAAGTTAATAAGCAAATCTAAAATTGGGTTAAAGTTAGATGTATAATTTTATGTTAAAAAAAAGAAGATTAAAATTGGTTAGCTAAAAACATCTTATGCTAATATTAGTATTAATATAAATTTCACTTATTGTACGTGGGTCTAAATAGACACATTCATGCACCATAAAATCGTTTTATAAAAATATTAGAATTCATAAGGGCTATTTTGGGATCATTTTTACTATTTATTTTCTATTTTATTCTTATATATATATTTTTTTATTTATATTTTTCTTTGAAAAAAAACATAATTGTCAAGGACTTCTTTGAGACCATTTTTAAAAAAAATTTAATTTATTTTTGCATTTACCTTTAAGTGGAGTTTTAAAAGTATTTTTATTTTTGTTTTCAAAAATATATTAACCTATTTTTAAAAGTACTTAAAGCAATATTTATATGTTTAGTATTTTCTTAAAATAGCCTTCACTAACATGTGTGTTTTATTTCAAAATAAAACACAAATAAAATAAAATAGACTAAAATAAAAAATAATCTGAATTGACACTTATTTTAAAATTAAATTAATTTGCTTCTACCAAAAAAAAAAAATATAATATAATATAAAAGTTACCCCAAGCCGCATAGTCCTAAAATTAGGAAGTGGCAAGGATGCCTCCTGCCCTACTAAATTTGAAAAAAAAAAAGGAACTTCATATAATTAGATATAATATGAAAAGTTTTTCATTAAATTCTTCGGTAATTACATATATTGTAAGACTTTCATCCTTCCTAAATACAAATCCCAACTCATCTTCCCTCCTTTTATCCCCTATAAAAGAAGAATCATGTGAACATCTCCCATACACAATTAACCAGAGCTGTGAGAAAATGGTGTGCAAGGTAGAGGACAATGGAAAGCCAAGGAGACAGGAGCCAATGAAGAAGACGAGGAATGAACAGAGAGAAGTGAAGAAAGAGCCGGCGAGCCTCCATTGCAACAAGGGCAGTAGCTGCAAGTTCAAGCGCAGCTGCTTCTGCGTGGAAGACGATGCCATCTCCTCGGCTATTCTTCTCTTAGCTTGTGTTTTCTGTTCTCCAAATTCCATGTAGTATTCTTCTTCTGTCAATGGAAACTCATGCTGTTTTTTATTAAATTCATCTTATGCATGATTTGTAATATGCTGATGGAATTGGTTAAATTCTTCATTTCGCTGTCGTGAGGTAAATCTGTTGATGCAAAAACCGGCATTTGTTTGATATATTGTAAGAATTGTAGTAGTTAAGCGTTTTGCAGTGTTAATAATATGAGCCTTTGAATGATAACTATAGAATGATAAATAAATTTAGTTACTAAAGTATTAATTAAATCAAATATTTTTTAATTAATTAAGCGAAAAGCCTAAATTATTTTAATTGTGAATAATTCAACATAAAGCATTAAAAAATGGATCCCTGTTTGAACAATGTTCAAAATTAACATTGAGAGATTCAAATTTCACAAATCTTTTCAAACTGTTCTCAATATCTCAATATGATGCTCTCATTTTTTATAGTTATACGCGCACGCGCGTGTGTGTGTGTTACATATATAAAGGAATGGCCTGACGCTATGATGCGAGTCCCGATCATTCCCGATGGGTCTAAAAATTAGAGTACCACACAATCTACCGGGGGAATCGAACCACAGACCAGAGGGGAATTACAACTGACAAGCAGATGCCCGACCAACTAATATGAAAACGTGGCGCGCGCGCAAACACACACACACACACCCACCACACACACACACACACATATATAGTGAGCATAGAAAGAGCGCCCATAGTCCATTTATGAAGATGAATTTTAAGTATAATTGATGGGTTCCAATTCTATGGATAAATTTGTGTTAAAATATAGAGTTAATGAAATAAGTCATATATCTCCAATTAAGTGCACTATAGGTTGTACTTTTGGAGACGTTACAAAGCATCAAAATTTTAAATAATGCAAGAAAAAAAAAGAAAAAGAAAATATGTTGTACTTAAAATTAATTTAATTTAAAATATGAATATGTATTCTATAATCTATATGTATGAATAAGAGTTTGGAATAATTATGAATACTTTGTGTTCTATTTGATAAATAAAGTAGTTGAACCTAAATAAAAGAATATGAGTCATTAAATTAATAACCCGATTGGAATAGCATCAAAGTGGAATCAGAAATGAGCATTGAACTAGCCTTAAACTCGAAGTTACCATCTGAAGTGGCGCTCATACTGTAGTAATGCGGCACTTTAACAATTGACCGTTAAGCATTGTAGGAGATTTATGTTGCCCATTGCAGGATTTTAAATTTGTTTAAAAGGCTACTCTACTTGAGGATGGATTAGGGTGATAGAATCTTCTTTTCCACCTTTTTTTATGTCTGGATGGTTGAAAAGCTCTATTTGTTAAAGTGCAAATGATGGTGTATATGATGACATATCTCATGTCAAATCATATGATCAAATTGGCGATTGATTTTATGCTGATAGTTTAAATAAAAAATAAGACAAGTTTGGGATAATAAAACCACCCTTATGTCAGATCAAATGTGTCGTATTGAGTTGTGGACATATGAATTGCTTACATTGTTTCAGAGATGACTTCAAATTAACTTGTCTTGCCAACTCCCATCTTTTATAATAGAGAGAAGACTGGCAACCAATGCATTAGGAGAGTTGTGATAATGCTCTTTGGGCTTTTCTTAAAATGTACAACGCCTTGATGACTTCTGATCAAGATAGAATAACACATTAGTTATAAATATGTTTCATAAAAAAAGTCTCATAAAAGCTATTATGTGTCAGATAATCTATCAATTTACAATTCGTTTGCTTTAAAATAATCATCTACAGGAAAGGAGTTAATTCATATAAAATGATAGAAAATTGCTGATGAATGTTAATATCTTTGTTCAGATGTGGTGAACCTTGTTGGCATTATTATAGGAAATGTGGTTATCAAAATTTCCATTTGTTTCCCATGATGTGCTTGTATGATTGTCACTTAACACAAATTATTAATTGGAGACATCTTCAATAATGATCGTTGTTCAATTATTGATACTGAAGTAATTGTTTGTTCTGAAATTAGCTTGATTAGCAAACCAACTTGTTTAACCAAGGTTAGCATTTTCTGATTAATTTTCTCCTTTTGTTATAAAAAAATATAAAAACTTATTCTTGATAAACAACACATTATTTCTCATGAATAATATAATTATATCATTATATAATTCATTTAGAAGTATGAAATCCTAGAAATAACTAGGAATCTTCCACAACATTGCATATTTGCTATTATCAATGGATATGTCCCACTTCAATGAAATTTATGCTAATAATCAAACCAAGTATCAATTCCATCCTAGTTGACCGTTGACCGAGTTTGATTAAATCATGAATGAATTTTAAATAAAAATGAAAAATATTGTATGGATTAGAAAATTAAATTGTAAAGTGCGTTATATAGAAAGTTTCTTTAATTTAAATCAATTGAAGTTGTTTGATGAAATTAGTAATTAACTTATCAAGATTTTAATTCTGATCCCTATAAGAATGCCACTCTTCTCATTATATATCTTTTTGTGTGGCACGTGCACTCATGCACATCATTTTAATCAATCAAAATTTTGCATGATTTTTGAGGATCATTGTAAAATTTTGTATAATTAGACATTAAATTTATTATCTTATTTTAAATTATTTGTCTAAGATCTTACTATATTTCAATTAATTTTGTTGTTTTATTCAAATTTGATTTTCTTGTAGTTAATTATATACTCTTTGTTGTTTAATAATAGTTGTTCTATTTTTGCAATTTGAGTTTGTGGAGTTGAAAGGGTAGAGTGGATAACATGGAACTAGTGTTATTTGACCCACAAAATGAAGAAATCTATAGAAAATAGAAAATAAAAAAGAATAAAAATTTAATCAAACCATGCATACCAACAAAAAAAAAGTAAAAGACTATTGACATGCGTCAATTTACGTAATTCATCTGCATTTTCCTGCATTTTACATGTTATTCCTATTATTTATCACAAATTTACGCTTCAAAAAGATTTTTTTATTTATGCTATGTAGGACGAATGAGTGGAATACAAACAAGTTGGAAAGAGAAAATTAAGCTAAAAAGTGCTCCAAAGCACTGTAACCATGCCTAAAGGTAGCATGGCCATGCCCCTTATTGAACACAGCTAGCGTGACCATGCCATCTGAAACAGAAGGGCGGCGTGACCATGCCACGATCGGGTATGACCATGCTGGCCCATGCAGTCTATTGGCATGACCATGCCGACGAGCGGGAGAACACTTTAGGAAGGAAATTTGATGGCCTAATCCATGATTCGTGCAATAAAATCATTTTTTAGTGCTTTTTGGAGGGAGTCTGCATCCGAGAAGGTCTGAAGGCTATAAGAAGTGAGTTGGGGGAGATTTTGAGGTCTCCCTTGAATGCTATCTTCCTCCTTTGGTGGATACCTTAAAGGGAGAGTTTTTTTTGTTTGTTTTGTGAGTTGTGAGAGTTCATATGAGAGAAAAATGTATTGCCTTCGGAGAGAAAATAATTTCTTTTAAGTTTTTCTTATCTTTGCTGCTTGTAATGGATTTCGACGTGGTGTTTTTCGCTAGGGTTTCTTCTGTAATGAGTGAATAAACTTTTCTTCGTGTTTCTATGGTAAAATGAGTAGTGGATTTATCATAATTTTTTGATAATATTTTTCCGTTAAGCTTTTTCTTCAAGTTTTTCATGGCCTTGTTGTTCTTTTACCTCCAAACACAATTTACTCATAGTTTGGCCAACTAGAATGTTAAAATGTTTCATGAAACTATGACATCTAACTGTTGCATTGTGGAAACAAAGGTTTAACCATAGAATTATGAAATAATAGACATATTCTAGATAAATTCAACAATATTTCCAAGAAATTGGAAAAGTCATGTGGATTGAGGATGCCTCAACTTCAGGGATTCGAGGCTTCTTTTGAGCTATACATTGGCATAAAAATCACTAAATCCATGATTAACAACAATCATGCATGAGAACATTTAGAAAATATCACGATCTTCACAATCACTAAATCATAGTGGCATGAGACACATTTATTTTGAATGAACTCACAAAATTTTCCCTTGTTTCCACTTTCTTTCATTACCTAGTACACTGTTTTTCTAGGACCTCAAGACTTACAAACTTCAGTTCGATAAACACCAAGGTAAATTAACTAAATTAGTAAACTGAAGATTTTTTCGTGGAAATAAATATTACACTTACCCTATAGGATTAACATGCGGTATACTTGAACTGCATTACTACTTGACAAGTGTACATGCGTTGTACAACCGACTTACATCCCGTTAAGTTTTGGCACATCTGCTATGCCACACCTTTAGTAGATGATGTACATTAAAACATCAATAAGCCAAATATCCAAGCCATTAATTTGCACTAAAACCAGTAATAATTCAAAGGATCTGAAACTTATAATTTCGGGTTTCACCTAAAAATCTAAACTTACACATAATTTTCAATTTCTCAGGAATTTAAGCAGCCTTTAAGTATAATAGAGTGTTTAATAATGTCATTAGACTTACATTATTCCTTTTTTAGGGACAAAGCTAAGGTTTTGTTGAATTTATTATCTCTGGGCTCTATCAAATATTTCCCTCCTGCTAAAACTATTAAGCTTAGAAAAGAGATCACTTTTTGTCCCTAAATAAAAAATGAGCTAATTTATTAATTTTTGGAATGATTTTAGTTCGTAGCCTCTAATATTACTCCATGTGGGATCGATATCCAGGACTCCATTAGAGCCCTGTATTACTTGAGCGATACATATACTTGCATTGATAAATGTGATTTTGCAATTATTGAATATTTTATACACATCTTTATCAAATCTATAACCGTTGTCAAGTTTTTAGCACCGTTGCCGGGGATTTAAATCTTCTAGCAGCAGTATCAAATTCTTGCATTTTTAAGCATATATAAAGTTGCTGTCAAGTTTTTGGATGCTGGATATTACAGGAAATTCTGATAACAATCTAGTTATGTCAATTATAAAACCACCTGAACTTGAGTTGAAAACATTGCCTAACCACTTGAAGTATGTGTTTCTAGAAAACTCATCTACATTACCTGTTATTATATCTTTAGAGTTAAATGATTTGTAAGAGCAAAGTCTTTTGTATACACTAAAAAGATATAAGAAAGCTTTTGGTTGGATCTTAGCTGATATTAAATGAGTCAGTCCTTCGATCTGTATGCACAGAATTATAC